TTTATTCTGTGCCCGGAAACAATTTCTAAGCATTTGAAGGCGTTTGGTAACTGCCCAAAATTTCTATTCTTAGAATAGAAAAAGAACAGAAATGTGTATGATATCTACAAAAAATTTCATTTTATTAATAATATTTTAATAATTTTTTGAATTTTTAAAATTTTCTTTTTTTTCTTTTTTTTCCTTTTTTTTTCTTTCTTTCGCTTCTCTTCCTTAGCCAAGGCCGGTCGCCTGCGTCGGCCACAGGCCAGGGCCGGCGAGGGCATCGCGGCCCTCGTCGCCACCCTCGCACCGGCCTCGCCGTCGCCAACCATGGCGACGGTGAGGTCGGCCTCGCCTTGGTTGGTCGCGGCCTCGCCGTCACGGCCGTGAGCCGCCCTCGCCGGCCACCGGCGAGGGCCACGACGCCCTTGCTGGTGGCTGGTGGCCGGTGGCCGGCGGGTGGCGAGCGGCAGGCCAAAGAACAACAACAAACCAAAAAAAAAATTGAAAAAGAATCAGAAATGGAAAAATTGTTCCAGAATCAAGAAGCTACTTTTTTTGGTTTCTTGATTCTGTTCCAAAACTGATTATGCGAACAATTTTTTGCAAATTTGTGTCCGGGCACAAAAAATTTAACAAACGGATTTCTGCTCCCAAACTAATTCTAGGAACAAAAGAATAGAAAATTTTTACTATTTGGCAAGTTGTCAAACAGGCCCTTAGCGGTTGAAGAAAAGGACCAATCTGTCCCACGTGATGCCATATGGGAACACAGTTCTCGACATGGCCTTCCTCTCTACTTACATGGGCCAAAGCTCCAAGATAGTCTCTTCCGTGCTCTTGGACGAGCTCTCTTCTTCAAATTCCTAGGCAGTTCCAACGGGATGTGGATTTGGTCTTTTTCCAATGCCAGGTTCGTCTCCATCACTAGTGATTATATTGCACGTATATTACACGTATGTTGTACGTATATTTCATGTATATCTCCTTTTAACTAATGTTTCTGGCTATGTTTGTCTTGCCTCTTGTTATTGGGACACCATATTGATTGATTACTTGAGGGTGGTTATAGGTGCACAAAGCTCCAAAAGGGTCTACTGATAGTGTGGAAGCACGAAAGAGAGGATGAACAACCTCGTCGATCGTATGTGAACCGCAACATCAACAAAATTGTCAACCACCTGTTCGGTGGCTCTACTACTGCATGTTGACTGTTGTTCGACCTGGAGACCAACCTGTCGTTGATGACTGGGACTGCCTCAAGACATTTGTGAGACTCCATGATCTCCTCTTTCTCCGATCCCTACATGACACGTGTATCCACTGCTAATTTATCCCGTGAACAGTTTCTAATGTCAAATTTGTTCGTTGTGACATACAGTTGAGGACTTACTAGCAATATTGTGGATGCTTTAGCGAGTATGGAACGCAATACCCAAGAGCCTTGGCGAACATTTGTAATGCTGGAATAGACAAGGACCGTATGGAAGCAACTTCTATTTTGCGTACAGTTTCTAAATTACATATATGGAGAATATGTGCTGCTTGTAAGAAATTGGAATAATTTTACATTGGCAATCCTCTAGGTGTCCTGTGAATGAATCAGCTCATCAAAATGCTCAAAGTTTGTTGCAGATTATGTCGGAATCTTTTCAGATGGTTATTGATATGGTCAGTCTTTTATTTGGCAATTATCCCGAATCGTCCTTACAACACATGTAAAAACCTCGTCAACCTAAATGCGATGACTATGTTAGAGATAATTAGGGCTTTCTCTAGGATAATTATCATTGTTAGAGAAATTTTGATAATTTTGATGATTATCCGTATCTCTCCAGATTGTACTTAAATTACACGTGTACCGCACGTATATCTCCCTTAATTGAGATATTATTTTAGAATAGTTATTTAATAAAGCCCATAAATAAGCTAATATATTTTTTATTTCAAATTTCTCTATTCCGCATCATTATTCTCAACTGACTGAATGATGACCACTTTCAAGGGTCGGTTTCAATTAATGAGAGGATTCACCTCAAACAAGAGAAGCACCTTAGCTAGCTGCGTTAATGGAGGGGCGGGATTGCTTTCACTTGAGAAACAAGTATAGGAAAATAGAAATAAAAAACTTGGTGAAAAAATTAATAGAGTTTCGGAACGAGGATTACCGCGTTGTGTGTGTATATATATACTGAGAGAAGGGTGACAACTTGTTTCTTTGTGAACCTAATTCTTCATCTGGAGAAAAAACAACTGACAGAAAACAAGCATCATGCAAACAAGAGTGTACCTAATCTGATGCATCACTCATGTCCTCTGTTCCATCACATTGAGCTTACGTATGCTTACTGTTACTGAGCTTCCAAGGATGCATTTATATGTATATTTTTTTTCTTTGGTCGAAATTTTAACTATACCCATTCAATGCTTCGGTCCAGAAAGACAAGGAAAGCTAGATTCAAAACGTAACAAATCCCACAAAGGTTGGGGGACTTAAATAGCCAATTACGAGGTAGACTTCCTCTTCGATGAGCTTTTGCAATCCAATCCGCAACTTGGTTAGCGTCACGTGGGCAGTGGACTATTAAGACTCCTTTCATTTGGGCCATTAAACTATTGCACACTTCAAATAAGCATATGAGGACCCATGGACTTCGAGATGGGTCTGACAAGCACTAGCATTTATATGCATGTTTTCTTTTTGGTCGGAATTTATATGTATATTCACTGGCATAATTTTTAATAATCAATTGGTCGTTCACTTGATGTACTTTCTTAGAAGCTGAAATAAAAAATTTTAACTAAAATAATTAGATAAAAGCCACTAAAAATCCTAAACTATACCCACTGTGACACATTTACCCTAAATTTTTTTTTCTGTGACACCAAAAATTACAAACTTGTAGTTATGTGGCACATTTACCCTCCGTTAAAGTTCGGTCAATGAAACCGTTAAAAATTCACCTACATGGACGCTAGAAAGCAAATAATATCATGGCGTCCACGTGACTTAAAGGAACTAAAAATGACGTCGTTTTGACTAAAAAAATCATATATATACAAGTTTAAGATTTTTTATGTCACAAAAAAAATTCTGAGTAAATGCATCACATGGACATAGTTTTAGGGTTTTTTTTTTTATTGCTTTTTCCCAAAATAATTTGATGAAATGTTTTTGCGGAAGAAGGGGATTTGCCAGTGGGCTTGAACTGGCGCTTACGGCCCAATTACTGCTTCAAAGGCGAGCCATGTGGTGTGTTTCAACTCAATTGAAATCAAGGCTGCCGTTAGCTTCCTGTGGATTTGCTTAGATCAGTTCATCATGCATGGGCTACCCAGCCCAATACTCGGAACACATGTATGTATACCTACCTATGTGTGCACATACTTTCCTTCTAAATGTAGGTTAGAGATTTTCTTCTTTTTAAGCTTAGTATGAAGTGAAATGAAATGAGCAGTTGTGTTATACGGGGCATTGTCAAATAATGCTGAAATGTATTTTGTACTCCTCAAAGGGTCATTTAAGTTGATTGAGCATACAATCTTTGGCTCTTATGCTGAAGGTAAAACGCAATTGCGCACGTGTTATGAGACGGATATGGTGGATCCTTGCACAAGCGGGATCCATTTTTGGTTGCTTGGTTGGTTGCCGATAGGCTAAAAGGCAAGTGTTTTTCGACTTTGCCAATCTCCGCCAACTCCTCATTCTCCCCAAAAAATCTCCTCATTCATTTGAAGAAAGATTTTGAAGCTTAGAAATGATGCCGCGGCCAGGCCTTTCATTAAGCATGTCATCGGTGACGGAAGATGTACCTTTTTGTAGCACGATGATTGGCATCCCTAAACAGCTGATGTCACACGGGGATGCGCGCTGATTTTGGCCTCCTACTAGCTTAATCAGAGGCTTGGGTGCAGATTCAAGCTGACATTTTTGTGATTCCTTGCAGCCAAACTCTCGTCTTTCTAATAGGGGTCATGGGGAGTTGACCGCTTCTTGATGTTTTACGATGGGGGGAGTTCGTTTTTAAGAGTGGAAAAGCTCAAGAGCGCATGGTCGTACCGGTGTCCTAAGCCTGGACCATGGTATTGCAGCTTCACCAGGTATGGAGAGGGATTTGTTGCTGGATTTGTTTGAAGTTGATTGGGATGTGGCTTAAACTTCAATGGGCAAAGGTCTCCCTTGTCTATGGCTCCAAAATCTGTTGCAATTATTTCAATGGCACTAGCCCATCCCCATTTCCTTCGTGCCAACCCTATAACTCATCTTCGGTCAACTCTCAACTGCGCCTGATTACCATCAACCCACGTTCGAAGCCATTAAAAATATTTCAAGTCGAAACAATGGTACCGCCCCCCCAAAGCAATTGCGCAATCCTCCATACTTATTCTAAAAATTATCACAAGACAATAGTATTATCGACTCGTGTGATTTTACATCCATCCCGGTGCACATACATACTTGGACCACAATAACTTCGACGTAAATATCGACTAATTTACATGGTCCGAGCATGAATGTATCCGCGTATTTTTCCAAAAAGAAGATGATTCTTTCCAAATTCACTAAAATTTGCTTCTTCTAACGCTTACGGACACGCTTTATAACCGTAGAATTTGTCGTTTATTTTAATTTTTTACAACTACAGGATTATCCGGAACAAGCGAATCACATGTTTTTTCAACCGGAAAAAAAAAAAAGAGAGAAAGAAGAAGGTGGGGGGGGGGGGGAGAGGGGCAAGAAAAGATGACGTGGCAACCAACCCGATCGGGGCTTTGCAATTGATTAATCACGTGGCGCGACGCCATTGGAGGTCGTGACCTGTCTTGTCTGAGAAGCGAATATGCCGAAGAGCGCATCGCGTACAGACTTTTAAGCATTTCAGTATGGATAGAAACGCATCCAAAAGCAAAGCAAAAAAATTGAAAAATAAAATAAAATAAAAAAGAAAAAGAAAAAAGAAAAGGAAAGAAGGAAGAGAAATCAGAAACTGAAGAAGAGGACGCAGACGAAGAAGAAGAAGAAGCAAGCAGGAGGAGGGAGGAGGAGGAGTTGTAGTAGTTTCCGTTCGCTGAGTTGACTCCGATTCCGATTCCGCTTCCGATCGCGCACGTCCGTCGTCGACGACTTCATTTGCACACAGAGAGAGAGAGAGAGAGAAGTGGCGTCTCAGCTGTGATCCACGGCGGTTGCGCGTTGTTCTCCCCCACCGTCGCTCGTTCGATAGCCAGCTGACCAGGTGACCTTCGGGAATCCCCTTCCCTTCCCTTCCCTTCCCTTCCTTTCTTGTTGTATCCGTGGCTCGAGAATGCGGGTTCCTCCTCTCGATCTGCTATTCTGTCCTGACCTTCCTGCTCGCCACTGTCTTAGATCTTGCCTCGGAGCTGCTTGCTGTTGTGGTGGTTTGCTTTGGCTGGTCATGTGGTTCGGTTGGTGGCGTTTGGACTTTTATCAGATCTTAGGGTTTCGTGTCCCTGTTTCTGCTTCCCCCCCTCCCTCCTTCAATGCCCCCGGACTGTACCGCTCGTCTGCTCGTCTGCTAAACTCCGAGGAGGGGGGGCTTTAACTCGTCTCATTTCCTGTTTTATGTTATGTGACTGTGTTGGTCGGGACGGCCTCGAAGAATTTGACGACTAGATTTCGATGATTTTGGTGGCGACTGTGGATTTGGGGTTAGAAACCTCTCGCTATTGATCCTGTAGCTGTCTTGCGGTTGTTGTGCTGGCCATCGTGCTAGTTTGCTTTTCCTTATGTTGATTGTTAGTTTCCTTTTGTATGCGATACTGGATACTAGTGTACACATAGACATTGGTATTGATGAATTATCGATGCCGATTCTTCAGGCATTGTTCTTGGCTGGAAAGAACCGGGTCTAAAGTAGTTTCGCCTTTATTTGGATTTCTTGGTATAGGACAAGGGAAGAAGTCGCTCGACTAGAAGGAGAGCAGAGCTTTACTTTACTCTCTTTTTTTTTAAACTTGAAAACTCATCTAAGATTTGGGCTTGCAGATTCTACTCCTGGTGGCTGAAGCACGACTACCAAAATTCAGCGGCCAGGTTTAGGGGGTGACTCGCCCCAAGTTGGTGAGTACAACCCTTTTCCTGTTGCACGGAGAGTAAACTCCTCCCAAATGATGGCCATGGATGATGACATGGAGAGTGGGGCTTTGAGGTCCTACCAGGACAAGCCCAGGACGTTTCCAAGCATGCGCACTAAGCCTCACACCCCACCGGTAAGGATATACTGTCTTCTTTTCTGCAAGTTTTTCATCAAAGTGTTAATTTTCTTTGGTTTTACTGGCCCGGTGATCATTTAGCCCCGTGTATGCTGTTAGTTTGTCACATCTTTTCCTTTTATTTCCCTAGGTGTATCCTCCACCCGCAATTGACTTGATAATGATTCCAATAAAGCAGCATTTTGATGCATTTTCTAGGAAGGCTTTCTGATATTATGTTTACTTAACCATACCACTTTACCCAATTTCTCGTTTCAGCATTGACTCATGCTCATCATAGTTTAAGGATATGTGTAGCGTTTCATGTAGACCCTCTTTTATTGGTTGACTCAATTATGCAAACTATTATGCGCTTGCTTGATGAATAATAAACAGTATGTTGAATGTTGAGCTATCATCTTTGTTTGCTTTTTATGATTTAAGTTCAATCTCAGGTATATATTGACCCCATTCTATTCTTCAGATTATCCGCATGTTGATGGGAATCAACGTTCGGGTTCTTCTTATCTTGCTGCTTCTGGTATTCGGAGGGGTCTTTTACATTGGTGCAAAGACTTCTCCAGTCATAGTGTTCGTCTTCTCTATTTGCATTATGAGTTTCCTTTTGTCAATATATCTCACAAAGTGGGTACTTTCAAAGGATGAGGGCCCCCCCGAGATGGTTCAGGTACATTGTTTTTGGCAATTACCTCATCTATTTGTTTTCCTTCTTATTTCCTTGTATTTTATGTTCTTTCTTCTGGGCTTAAGTTTGTTAGTAACAAATATTGGAGATGATTTCTTCACTAACAACTTGCTTATCCTTTTGCACTTCTCTCAATTGTATCCTGCATCATCAGCCGTAGAGCATATCAAACTCATTTTTATAATCTCCCATCGTATCCTAGTGGAATACGTATGCTGGCGGAGTCGTATCAAATTCATCTTCCATTAACTCAATTTTTTGTCTGACCATTCTGAACTTATGATATTACTTGTTTAGATATCAGATGCTATCCGTGATGGCGCTGAAGGTTTTTTTAGGACCCAGTATGGGACTATCTCCAAGATGGCACTGTTACTAGCTTTAGTCATCCTCAGCATTTATCTGTTTCGCACTACTACACCACAACAAGAAGCTTCTGGTCTGGGGAGGTGATTTCCACTGTTAACTGGTTGAGTGCAGTCTCTTCCTCTTCTTTTTTATCCATCTATTGACAAGCATATTCATTGGGCTTGTTGGTACAGGTCAACATCTGCTTATATCACTGTTGCTGCATTTCTTCTGGGGGCTCTATGTTCAGGTATAGCGGGCTACATTGGTATGTGGGTGTCTGTTCGTGCAAATGTTCGAGTCTCCAGTGCTGCAAGGCGATCGGCAAGAGAGGCATTGCAGGTTTTCCATCTTCTTTTGTGTTGATTATTTGTTGGAAAAATAATGGATTGTGTGACTATTAATGAGAATTATGTACAGATAGCTGTTCGTGCGGGCGGCTTCTCTGCACTGGTGGTGGTTGGCATGGCTGTTCTTGGAATAGCTATCCTTTACGCTGCATTTTATGTTTGGCTGGGCGTGGACTCTCCAGGTTCCATGAAGGTTACTGAATGTATGTCTCAACTACTCCTTGAATTTTCTACAGATATGGTGCCTTAAAGTCAAAAAGCTTATGCTCTGGGATTAGTTTTAGTCGATCATCTATGGTTTAGCTCCATGATTCTTTCGTAAATTAAGGACTATTCTATGCATGGAGCATTCTTCTTGTTGTTCAGCGCAGAGTGAGATTCATTCCTAAGATCTGTGTCTCATTACATCAGGCCGTGAATGCCAGGAGGGTTTTCTAGCACATGCAATAGACGGCATCAATTTTTGTTTGCTGTCCCGAGAGAGAGAGGGTGTGTGTCAGGGGAGGGGGGGGAGGGGGGATCGGTGCCCTTAAGGGGGCAATGATGTTATAAAGTCTATGACATCACTTCTATGTTTTTATTGCAGTGCCCCTTTTATTGGTGGGATATGGATTTGGAGCATCATTTGTGGCCCTGTTTGCTCAGCTGGGTGGTGGAATATATACAAAAGCAGCTGATGTTGGTGCTGACCTCGTAGGCAAAGTAGAGCAGGGAATACCGGAAGATGATCCACGGAATCCTGCTGTTATTGCTGATTTGGTAATTGTTTGTTCGCTTGTGCTTTCTAAGACCCATGACTATTTGCTTCTTGGTATTGCCTGGATTACTGTCGCTTTGCAAGTTTTTCTTATATGCATTCTACATTTTTGTCTCTGGAGGTTAGGACCATTTATATTGTTGGTGAGTTGGTGAGATAGTTTCATGATGTTATTTTACTTGCACTCCCAATTTCCATTCTCTTTACACATCTCATGGAGAATAGGATCGTACATATGGCTTTTTCTTTTGAAGATAGGACGATGGTCTGTCTTTTTTTGATTTGTTGACTGAGTTTTCATTTTTAGGAGATGGTTGTTTGGTGAGATGCAGTTTTGTTCAGTTGTGGCATTTGGTAATATTGGGGAAGAAGTTCATGGCTTTAAGCTCGGGTTTTAAAAAATATCCATCGTATATAAATTGAGAATCCACAAAGAAAGGAGGTGCATGATAAGTAATTCACCAGAAATGAACAATTCACAACGTTTGCGGTGATGGAATGTTTCAATTCAATAAATCTGATTTGGCATCCTTAGTTGAGCAACTATCTGAAAAAGGACTTGAATTGTTGGTTGCTCATAAAGTGAGTGTCGTTGGGGTTGTGTTGCTTTATGCTGTTGATTAGGCATCCTTAGTTGGGCAACTTCATACTGTTTGATTTGGCATCCTCAGTTGGGCAACTTTATGCTGTTGATTTGGCATCCTTGTGTTACTTAGATATGTAAATATATTAGTCTGTGTGCAGCATTGAGAAGCAAGCCTTTCTCCTCCACAGTCCTAGACCTTGTGGCTCAGATAGATGCCTTCTGTCCGCGTCACCCTTTCTTTTGTACATTTTTTGTCTTCCATTGGTATGTGTTGAGATAAGAATTCTAAAGCTGGCTTCTAACCATTCAGCAGCTAAATTTGTCTGTTTGCCAAATTCTTTGGCTATATTGGCTTTATGGGTACGAACTTTTCCTGCGAAGCAAATAATCTTCTAAGGAGCAGACTTAATTTTGTCATTGTAGGTAGGAGATAACGTGGGTGATTGTGCAGCTCGAGGTGCTGATCTTTTTGAGAGTATTGCAGCTGAAATCATTAGTGCTATGATACTTGGAGGAACAATGGCCCAACGTTGTAAAATTGAAGGCAAGTGTTCCTGCCTCAACAGAGAAATAATCTAGTCTTTTAGCACAAACGTAAGATAGACGAAGAAATGACACATATCTTGGTATATATACTTTCTGGTGATACACTTACATTGAATTTAAAGTTACACATGTTTGAATCGAGTGGTTCCATCGGCATGATAATTAAGCCTATTCTAGTATGAATTTAAAGGCGTGCAACCCAACTACTGTTGCAATATATAGAAGAGAGAGACCTGTCACGTAGAACATAATTTCTATTTTCTCTTTTCAACTGTATGTGACTACGATTTTTATTTATTTATTCTCCAAACTAAAGTTAGTTGTGTCTCGATAGTTTTAGTTTGGAAGTTATATTGAAGCAAAGTTTACTTTGCCAATGTGTAAGTTCAAATGAGTGAAGTTGAATTGGAAGTTTGCTAATCTGATCACGCTGACAGTTAGTTCAATGATTGAACTAGGGGTGAGCATGATGGACCGCCCGAACCGGGACCGGACCGGACCGGCCGGTTTGGTCCGGTTCTCGAGAGTATCGGTCCGGTTCCCGGTTCCTAAAAGTGGAACCGGTTTCTGGGCGGTCCGGTTCCCGGTTCTAGGGTGGGAACCGGACCGGACCGGACTGGACCGATAAATATATATATTTACTTTTTAAATTTTTTGGAGAAAAAAAGAAAGCCTAATCTATTCCCTCTTGCCTTTACCAATTTTTTTAAGGATTGGTTCCATTGGAAAATGGAATTGGTTCCATTGGAACGTGATTGGTTCCATTTGAAAATAGAAAAATAAATACATTTATTTATTTAAAATAGAAAAATAAATACATTTATTTATTTAAAATAGAAAGCCTAATTTAAAAGTACATGATCGGTTCCATTGGAACCGGACCGGACCGATGGTCCGGTCCGGTCCACAGTCCTAGGACTAGCCGGTCCAGTCCTCGGTCCTAGAAAATGGGAACCGGTTCCCGGTTCTTGGGTGGGACCGGACCGGACCGGACCGGGAACCGCTCACCCCTAGATTGAACTACTGGTTAATGCACAGTATCTGGTTTGATTGGGGACAAATGCTTCTGCTGCTTCAGTGTTGAATCTGGTTAAAATTCCATCTTTGGCATTTGTGACTGAAAGCAGAAACGCGAGACATTTAAAGGTCAAGTGATTAATGAAGTTTTTTTTTTAATGGGAGAAAATTGAGCTAGCAATTGGGAAAGGTGCTTTCTTATGGGTAAATAAGGCCTTAGAGCTTAAAGTTGAAAATGCCAAACTCTGTGAGAAAACAGCGTATAAGTACAATTCTTTAACCCTACATCCTACCAAACATAATAGAGGACCTCTATGAAACAATAAGTTGGAAATTTCGTCCCAAAAATCTCATCCAGAGTTCACTGAACAAGCTACAGAGGCGGTTGTGGTTTCTCTGAGGGAACATGGAAAATAACAAAGTCGTAATGGTCCACTCTCATTGATAAAAATGATCTCTCAACTTTGTTGTTGCCATATTAATAGCCAAAACGAAATGGTTGTAATTTTCTAAGAGTTTCATTTTTGAAAATCAACTCAATGGAAATTGTTGCACAATTCTCCATGCTGACAATGTTAGAAAATCGCAGCTTGAAGTGACAACCACTGCGCTTGTTTGCTTATTTCGAAAGACTAACTTGGCAGTTTGCTTTGATGCAGATCCATCCGGCTTCATCTTGTTTCCTCTTGTTGTCCATTCCTTTGACCTGGTAGTGTCATCAGTTGGAATACTTTCGATCAGGGGAACACGTGAATCTGGTCTGAAGGCATCCATTGAGGATCCAATGGCAATTCTTCAGAAAGGATACTCTGTTTCTATAGTTTTAGCCGTTATTGCTTTTGCCGCGGTATTGTTTCTCTGACTATTCTCATTTTTTTCCTCTTCACTGTCAATATCCATTGAAAGATACGGATGCAGAAAAAGCTTTCTTGTAATTATTTCTGTTGTTGGTCAAATTTAAAATTCAATGACTTGCCCTTGCCTCTATTTTTGGTATAAGTCATGTGAATAGGTTCTGACACTTGATTTTACTGGATTGAAATCTACAGTCTACACGATGGATGCTTTATACTGAACAAGCGCCTTCTGCATGGGTGAACTTTGCTTTGTGCGGGCTGGTTGGCATTATGACAGCCTATATTTTTGTATGGATCACAAAGTATTACACAGACTACAAGCATGAGCCCGTGCGCATGCTAGCTCTTTCTAGCTCCACAGGTCATGGAACTAACATAATTGCTGGAGTAAGCTTGGGTTTGGAATCAACAGCTCTTCCAGTCCTTGTTATAAGTGTATCGATAATTTCAGCTTTCTGGCTGGGCCAAACTTCTGGTTTGCTCGATGAGACTGGCAATCCAACTGGAGGTCTCTTTGGAACAGCTGTAGCGACGATGGGCATGCTCAGCACTGCTGCCTATATTCTCACTATGGATATGTTTGGTCCAATAGCTGATAATGCTGGTGGAATTGTGGAGATGAGTCAGCAGGTAATGACCATATTTCTTCCAAATTTCCATATCATTAAAATTTTTTGAACTTGAGGGAAAGGTGGAAAAACCTTGTTTGATAGAATTTTAAGCACTTTCCTAAGCTTGATTGGTGTGGACCCTCACGTGTATGTATTATTTCATGCAGCCAGAAAGCGTTCGGGAAATTACTGACGTTCTAGATGCAGTGGGTAACACCACTAAAGCTACAACCAAAGGTTTTGCAATTGGATCAGCTGCACTTGCATCTTTTCTTCTCTTCAGTGCTTACATGGATGAGGTGTCTTCATTTGCTCGTGAGCCTTTTAAAGAGGTGGGTGATTCCTCGATCATGTAAATCCTCTCCTATTTGGATAGCTTTTGAGTGTAGCGTCTCACCCTGCTACTTCTATTTGATATTCAGGTTGACATTGCAGTTCCAGAAATTTTTGTTGGTGGGTTGCTAGGTTCCATGCTTATTTTTTTATTTAGCGCATGGGCCTGTTCAGCTGTTGGCCGAACTGCACAAGAGGTTGTTACTGAAGTGAGGAGACAATTTATTGAGAGGCCTGGTATAATGGTGGGTATCTATTTTCAGAGTGTGTTCTCCGATGCTTTTTTTTATCAGGTTACTTTATGATCAAATCCTTCTTTGGTTGGCTCAGGACTACAAGGAGAAACCTGATTATAGTCGATGTGTTGCCATAGTAGCATCTGCATCATTGAGGGAGATGATAAAACCCGGTGCTTTGGCTATTGTTTCACCTATAGCGATTGGTGGGTCGTAATTGTTCATATTGTGGCTAAGCTTATGTGGCGTAGCAATGAGATGTCCGCCATTGTCACTAATCTTTGCACGTATCTTTGCAGGTCTTGTTTTCCGGATTTTGGGGCATTACACAGGACATCCTCTTCTTGGGGCCAAAGTTGTGGCTGCCTTTCTAATGTTCGCTACGGTTTCTGGTATTCTTATGGCTCTCTTCCTGAATACAGCAGGTGGTGCCTGGGATAATGCGAAGAAGTACATCGAGACAGGAGCTCTTGGAGGCAAGGGGAGTGAGAGTCATAAAGCTGCAGTCACTGGAGATACGTGAGTTTGACAAAACTTTGCCATTTTGCTTAAATAAGGGCGAGAGCATGTTATAAAATCAACTGGCAATCGTGTTTGATGGCATAGCTCAAAGATACATGGTCATGCCCTCTTATGTGTGCTTGATGTGTTTGTTATGACACTTTCATTTGTGCTCTTGTTTGCTGCTATTGTGTCTGCCAGAGATTGAAAACCTTGCGACATTTCCCTCTTTGCACATGACAGCAATAACCTAATCGCTTACTGTTTTGGGTCTGTTGGATGCAGTGTGGGTGACCCCTTCAAGGACACAGCTGGACCTTCCCTGCATGTGCTGATAAAGATGCTTGCGACCATAACACTCGTCATGGCTCCTGTGTTTCTGTGAGAGTTTGTCCATATATACCGGGATTTTCAACAGCGAATTCAAGCCGGCACCCATTTTCGTCTGACTAGTATACTTTGCCAAATGCATTAGATAGGAGTTCTCGATTTTATGTATATCCCCCGGGTGTCGACTTGAATGTCATACTAACATCTTTGTTTGAATAAAGAGACGTTTAAGTTGCTACTCATTCTAAGTACACACCTGGTGGTAGCATAAAATCTATCGGGGGCTTTAAGTTAGGAGCGAAGATTACTTTAGTGCCATGAGTTGTGACAGCTCAGTAGGGACTTGGTCGGGCGTGGATGCGCATTTTTGTAATTCTCTGCTGTCATGAAATACTACTGCTCGATTGAGATGATTAGGGAGCTTTGGAATGGTGTTGGTTGTGTTCTTAATGCAGTCAAGACTAGGAATTTTGCTCATCTATTTTTCTCATGTTGAGTTCAACTCTTTAACACGAGAGTATTCAAGGAGTGAATCTCGAATGTGTTGAATCGATAAAAGGAGCATGCCCTCTTTAAATTACCGAAAGAGATGGGACTGGTCAAATTGCAAGAAAGCTGATCTATAGACTTCACCGAACCGCTAAAGAAGAAGCAAGGGCGCATGTCTTGGAACTTTTTATGTATATATTGGATTTCAATTGCAGAGCACTAAAGTCACATATCCGTATGACCGGCACTCGCCAATCAATTGGTATTCATCCGCAGCATCCATGCCTCAGCTGACTTTCTGAAGGAAGTCAAAAATAATAATATCAGGTTCGTTTTACAAGGAAAAGATGAGGTGAGGTGAGGTGAGCGGAAAAAGTTACATCATCAAGAGATGACGACTGTTCATCTCTTTCCTTCTGATGTTGGTATTTGTGGCCCATTTTTTGCAATCAAAAGAATTAACTCAGCGATAGCTTGGGCGAGGAAATTAACGATTCTTGAGACGTGCAATTCATTGGGCCATTTTCAGCTACGTTGGGGTTGGGCCCAACGTACAAAGCCCACAATGACTACGGCGACATCGCAATTGTGGAAATTACAAGGTTCTGGTCATTTTTTTAGCAGCTCCTGTTTCCTTCTCCTTCTTATCTTTCTGTTTTTCTTATAGAAGCCAGCGAGCGCTTTGCACGCATTGCAGCTCCGCGCTCTGTTAGGGTTATTGTCGAAGGAGGAGGAGGAGGAGGAGGAGGATGCAGCAGCCGGGGAAGCTGACGGCAGCGCTCCCAGAGCAGGAGGAGAGGGCCAAGGCCAAGGCCGCTCAGAAGCTGAAGAAGAGCACCAAGATGCCCTCCCCTCAGGAGCTACTCTCCCACTACGAGTCCCGGGGGCTGGACTCCCACCAAGCCTCCCTCCAGGCCATCGACGACCTCCAGAAGTTGCTCTCCCGCGTCCTCTCCTCCCGGGGCGCCCCCCCACCCGCCGCCAAGGCGGACAGGGGGTCCCCGCCCGACCTCGCCCGGAAGATGGACGCGGTGAACGGTCGGCTCGCCCTGCTGGAGATGAAGCTGGACTCCAAGCCCGGGTACGCGGAGGCGTTCGCCATCGGGGTGGCCTCCGGGGCCGCCCTCAACGGGATGGGGAGCCTCATGCCCCACCTGCTCGGCTCCCTCTCCCAGATTTGGAGCTCTGTCACCAATCCTCACCATCACCAATGAAAGCGAGCTTTAGAGTAGACTGGCTGATCCCTGTTGCTTTTCCGCCATTGCGGTATCGATCCAATTCGAACTCTGGACTATTTGTTTTGCTGTTGGGTTTTTACTTGTTTCGTTTCATCTTCTCGGGGGAACGACAGATCGGGGCTGTTGTAGCTGGAGCAGGAACAGATAAGAGAGGCTGAGGTGAAAACAGAGGAGGAGGGGCGGGTCTGCGTCTGCGTCTGCGTCTGCGTCTATTCAAGTTTGTCATCGTTGCCAGCCACCATGTACCCGTCCCCTCTTCATTATCGCTCTGTGTACAATAACAAGGGAGCACGACCATGTCCAATGATGTATCGCTCTCCTAAAGACCAGAACTTTAGGAGGCACTTTGTTTTCCGACTTTGACTTTCATCATCATTGATTGATATTATTGGTCCCGTTGAATTCAAATGACGCTCCAAGTTCCGGGAAGAAAACCATTAAAGCTTCGTGCCAATGTAATCGGCTCTGCTCTGAAAAGATAAGAATCATAATAAAATATGGACCCGGATTAGGCGGTTTCCTTTGTCCCTCGAGGGAAAACGGCACATTTTTTTTCACGCTGCAGAGAGAGCTTTTCACTTGATCATCAAAGTTGGGGAAAGTAAGAAGAGCTAATGGACTTTTAATAAGAACTCCAGAAAGACAATTCATGTCTTTGTTCAGTCGTTGTTAGATGTAATGAGGAAAAGGGTTGCCCTCCTCTTGCTCCTCCCACATTCTTATTATTGACGTACCGTGGAGGAGGGAAAGGCTAGATTTAGTCCCGTTGCAATTCATTCCTTCGCTTTAAGAAATTAATGTGGAAGAATAATCTGGGGGGCGTATTTTAGGATTGCTGTAGTCAAAGTCAGATTAGAGTCGCAACTACGCTAGCAATTGGTGCCGCCCCGCCACGTCGACGACTGACGTGGCAGGTGAAGGATTTAGATATGGTTTTGGCCAATGGGTTACGAGAAAATATTATGGTCAGTCAGGACAGGAGATGAACAGCAGCTGCTTGCTCGAAAGACAAACGAGAGGTAAGGCGAGCGTGGGAACTAAACCCGACGACGATGGCGATACGATAGTGATTGTTGCTTTCTTCATCGCCCTTTTCGTGAGCATGACTTGCGTGCGGTCATTTAGGAGCAAACCACCGTGTAGTTTCGTTTCGTACCATCTTTAAAAGTGACGATGCTTTGATGATTCCCAGTGCTCCCGAGCGACGAAGACGCGGGTCCTTGCATTATGTCTCTCGCGGCGACCCACTCCGCCACTATCTACCGAAACTTCAACCCATTCGGCATACGACGAATGACATGCTCCGCTGAATCCAATCCAAGGCGTGGCTTCGGGACCAAAAAGGTACGCAATTTGTCTCCTCCTTTGCGGTATGTATATACGAGTTTGAGTTGGGAGTGACTTTGCTTGTCTCATATTCTCAGACCAACAAAATCTCCAAGGACAGCGATCCCTCCTCCCAAAAGAGGTATACCCAAGATCGCTTGCACTTCCATTTTCTGGGTCTGCAGTTTTTAAGCTCAATTCCGACTAGTTCATTCTAAAGCTGCTTGCTTGTGACGGCCCAGTCTTGTTCTTTCTTGCTATTGTCTCGTTTGCTATCTCCTTGGTGAATTGTTCCGTCCTGACGGGCTGTTTCCAAGGGTCAGCTCCACTTATCTCTCGTCTTCGCTCAGTGCAGGAAATCCACGCTCGATCAGCCTGGTCCTCTACCTAGTCGTAAGTCGACGAATCACTCTCGCCTTCGTAGCCAGCCATATATGGATGTTTTGCTTTTTTCATGTGCTTGGTAAAACTGAAGTATATCCCCACATTGTCTGATTTGGTTTTTCCTGCTCAACGGTGCTGCCGTAAAAGCACGATTGAGTAGAAAATCATCGCAGGATCAAAATTTTAGTACAAACTGTTAAATATAATGAGTGCTTCAGCTGGAAATAGCTTGTTCTCCTTTGAGAGAACGTTCGTCCCTCGTTCTTTGTTAGTATTTCTTCAGGCAACATCACCTGCTGCACTAGTGAAGTCTCAGCTTGTGTATTTTTGAGTATTTGCTGGTGTTACGTCATGCCTGTGTGTAGCTCATGGTTCACCATGTTTAAAATGGATTTGAGTGAAACCACTTTGTCTTCTGTTTCTTATCCATGGAGTTCTTAGATAATGCATTTCAAGGCACATTTAGTTTTGATTTCATTCATTCGTTTTCTTGATCTCCAGCAGAAGGCCCGTTTGTGTGTTATTCTAAACAGTTTTTTTTTTTTTTTGCTTATGTGATTTAGGTAGGAAATATCTTGTGCGTCATTACTCTTATGCAAAACTTTTCTTGTAGAGGCACCTGGTGTAAGCCCCAGATTCGATGGGAACTATAGAAAAGTTACTTCTACCGACCTTGAGTTTGAGGAACGGCTGAAAGCAGTTAGAAGGTGCGGCCTCACCGTATAACATCTTGCTCTATGACATTCATCATTATGTGAGACACTATCTGAAGATTGAGTTATGTCCAAGATGCCACGTGTGCATCATCAGGACATCTCTGTCTGCCGCAGTTGAACAGTATAAACATCTAACTTTTAAGTCATTTTTGTCGCTTGGACTTGCTCGAGAAGTGCCATTCAGATGTCCAGAGTAGACATATTACTCTGTGTGATCACAATCTCTAGTTCACATGGTGTGACATATCGATAGAGCTCTCCATAATGGTTGAACTGGAAACTTATCTGTCAATTGATAATCCTCCCTGGGAAAACCTTTTCTCTGTACCTTCTCAATTTACGCTTTCCTTTTATTCATATAGAAGAGATTAGGTTCTTACATCAAACTAAGTATCCTCTTCAGGTCAGCGGTCGAGCAGAAAAAAGCAGATGAAATGAAAGAATTTGGAGCTATTGACTATGATGCACCGACCAAGACAGATGATAAAACCACTGGACTTGGTACAAAGGTAAAATCCTTGCCATCACATGTTGAGTTTAGAAGTTCACTTTTTTGGAATTGTGGTCAGCTGAGCCTTGATCTCTGATTCGAGTTTCAATGTCAAATAGATTGGAGTTGGAGTAGCAGTTGTCGTCTTTGGTTTGGTTTTCGCTCTTGGAGATTTTCTTCCTTCCGGAAGGTATGCCTTAATGAAGGCTTTTTCCACATCTTTGAACAAGTGGTAGTTATGTGCCCTTGGCGTCTCTTGAAAACTGTTTCCTAAATGGTTGATGTGCAGTCCTCGCACCATTATGGTTGGAGTTATTGATCTTTTTAAACCTTTATGTTCCAGTGATAGTTCCTCTGAAGAAGCAGTGGTGGCCAACAAGAAGCTCTCAGAAGAAGAACAAGCTACTCTTCAGGTGCTTGAGAAAGAGCTGGCTTGATATTTTCACGGAGAGTTTTTTTTTTCTGCATGAAACAGGCCAATTTTCGGTCTCGAGGAAAGTTAACATTTTCAACGGGCTTTGACTTTGAAAGCAATGAAATCCTTGCATACCACTATTTACTTGCTGAATCTCACTGTACATATTTCAGTGTTGTGAGTGAATTTTTTCATTTGAGAAGAAATATTATGAGGGAGACAAAGTGTAAAAGAACAGAGTTGAATGATATTTTTTTTCCTATTATTCGTGAGCTGCAAGACACATGTTATTTGAAATCCTTTTGAATCCGAGCTCTTGGTCATCTCATATTTACTTGTATTTACCTGCCTTTCCTATTCAGAATATGGTACGATGACAGATAATGTTGCCCTTTCTTTTCAGCTTTACATTGAATAACCAAAGAGAATGCATAATTGTTCAGTCATAGTTAATTCTCAAATTCTGTTCTCCTATTGTGATCTGTTACAGACAAGGCTGGAAAAGTTTGAAGCTACACTTACTACTTCTCCAAGAGATCCCACAGCGCTTGAAGTAAGTAATGAGTCTAAGATCAGCTCTCCATTTGCGTTTTGCTCTCTAAACTAGATATTGACTCATAGGTTTATATCTGCTATGCATGGCTTTGACTTTTAACTTTACAAAAAAGAGACAGGATCTGTGCTACACTTATATATGACAATAAGTGACTTTGAATGGTACCCATTTATCGTGTTAGAATTACGAACTTTTCAGCTTGCATGCTGGTTGAAATACTCACAGGTTGAAGCATGTACATAATATTGAAATGTGGTCATTCTATAAACTGCCACTTATATCTGTACACAATGTATCAGGGCACTTGAACAATGAGAAATACCATAAGCGGATAGATAGCTTTTCCATTTATCTCTGTATATGCATGTTTGTCTGTTAGTATGTGGATCTAAGATGTGTTTTTTAAAGTTGCTTCTTCGTCTATTCTGCCGCATGAGATTCTTACATGTCTACAGGGGGCTGCAGTAACATTAGCAGAACTAGGGGAGTATACTAAGGCAGCTGCTAGGCTGGAGGAGTTGACTAAGGTTTGTCATTAGGCCAACATGCTTCTTAGAATAATGTGTTCTATTCAGCAAGTATCTTTGGCTCAAACATCTCTGCAGGAGAAATCAAATGATCCTGTTGCTTTCCGTTTACTTGGGGAAGTCAAATTTGAACTCAAAGATTATGAAGGGAGTGTTGCTGCATATAGGAGCGCGAGCAAGGTGTCCTTTTAATCTTTTTCAAAAAAGGCAGGACTATTGTCTTGTCATTTAATTTTATTGCTTTAAACGTATGGGAAGCGCTAGTCAAGTCAGGTAGACATGAGTTCTGACTTTCATGCAACTTATTAAAATTGAACTATTTTGAGTTTCACACCTATACATGTATTAATTGTATATCATGGCTTGTCAACTCGGACACCAACAGAAAAGGCAACTTGGCTGGTGTCGGTCTTGCCCTTCTAGAAAAATCTAAGAGCTGATCCCAATTCACAGACTTTTCATTGTATTGTAAGTTGGCTGTGCAAAGGGAGTGGGATAATGCTTAGTTTTTTTCTGTAGAAGTTGAAAGTTTCAAATCTTCCATTGGTGCAGCACTTGCATGTAAAGAAACTATTAATAGTTACAGGAGGAAGCATGTGAAAAAGACGATTGCATCTAGTTAGTTTATATGTGTAAAAATAAAAATTGGACTCCATGAATGCCTTAACCCATGAGATCTGCTCTTACTTTGATATCGTGAACTTATCCTTTTAATTGTCTGCAGTTGTCGACAGATATCAATTTTGAAGTTCTGCATGGCCTTACAAATGCACTACTTGCTGCCAAAAAACCAGATGAAGTGAGTCATAGATGTCATTTGAGTCGTTATATTATAAGCTAAGAACATGTTGGTGAAGCTGTGTTTTAGGATTAAAGGTATACCAGACATGACATGATCTAGCTTAATTTGTCTAAAGTGGTATTCATGGATGTAGAAATTTAGGAGAAATTGTTCTAAGTTTTATTCTCCAGAAAGGGCTACGAAATTACATGA